CGGCCGCAAATTGTACATACCCCCGAATGCATCACCTAGTACAGGGGTCGGCAACCTACGGCCCGTGGGCCAGACCTGGTCCCGCAAGGCCTTTGGACCAGCCCCAGCCCGATCCTGCTGCCGCCGCCGCCTGCACCACCCCTGCGCTGGAGTACTGCGCATGGTCAAACGAGCCACAGCTGCCATTTTGGAAAACAAAGTGGCAGCCGCAACTCACTCGTGCATGCGCAGTACGCCGGAAGTACTGCACATGCACGTGTGAGTGTGCATGCGCATGCGCAGTACTTCCGGCATACTGTGCATGCGCGAGCGAGCACACACAGTGCCATTTCCCCCCCCTCGGGCCACGGGAGAGCTCCAGACCAGCGGACCGGCCTGAGGTAGGTAAAAGTTGCCTACTCCTGACCTAGTATATTGGCAGTCCTTCCCCCCAACACTTTCTCATTTCCTCCCAACCATCTCATAGCTGGGAGATGGAAATAATTTTTAAAGCAGCATTTAACTCTGGAGTAAGATCCAAAACACAGTGTAGAAATAATAAGGTCTTAAAAAGTAAGGTCCAAAACACACTGCAGAAATAAATGCTAGGGAACATGGGAGCAGTAGTCTGTTGTGTTTATAAGTGACAGTTTTCCTGCTAATTACCTGCATGTCATAAGCATTTGAATTAAAATTACCATATTGAAATCAAATCTGATGTTTTTAAAAATGTTATTTGGTGTGCATTGGAAGAGAGGTTGTCTTGTATGGCAAGTATATCCCAAACTCTTTATTTTAACTGGAACCGTTGGGGATCGTCTTATATGCCGTCATCTTATACGCCAGAAAATACGGTGTGTTTTTAATCTGTATTTAATAATAATAATAATAATTTTTATTTATATCCTGCCCCTCTGCTAGGCAATCGGGGCGGCGTACAGCATTTCGAAACATCAAAACAAACTGGGTGGTGCTGGGCTTAGTTAGTGTCTCTCCCCCAGATGACATCAGATGGTAATGGAGGGAGGGCTCTTCTTCTTACTCTAGTCCCGATGGTGCTGGGCCTAGTGTCCTCTCCCCCAGATGACACTGGATGAAATGGAGGGAGGGCTCTTCTTCTTATTTGTACTTGTAAGTTGCCTTGATTGCCAAGGCAAAAGGTGGGGTATGAGAAATTATTATTATTATTATTATTATTATTATTATTATTATTATTATTATTATTACAAGAATAAAACACAATTTAAAAAGATACAGGTGTTTAAAACAGTACACTCTAAACCAGTTCAACACCTCCAAGGCGTTCTTTAAAAACTTTCTGTTTTAAAACCTGTGTGAATAAAAAGGTTTTAGCCTGCTAACAGAAAGACAACAAGGAGGGGGCCATTCTGGTCTCCCTGAAAAGGGAATTTCAGAGTCTCGGGGCAGCCACCAAGAAGGCCCTCTCTCATGTCCCCACCAACCGGTCTTGGGATGGAGGTGGGGCCTTTCCTGAGAATCTCAGAGCCTGGGCCGGCTCATACAGGGAGATACAGTCTACCAAATAGCCTGGACCTGAGCCATTATTGGAATGCCTATCAGGACCTGCCTGCCTTACCGTTAAGCAAACTGGGGCAGGTGCCCCAGGCTGTGGATTTAGCATGTCATGAAAGGGCAAGAGCTATTATTACTGTATTATTAATGCCAGTATTGAGCTGGAGACAGGGAAGGCTGCCTCAGATTAAATTTTCTGTCTCGTGTGCCAAAATAATTTGGTTCGCTTGGAATGCTATGTACATCACCCTGAGCAAGTGAAGGGTGCCATTTGCTGCTGTCTGGTAGCTAAATGTCTTGATGGCCCTGATGCTTCTTTGTTTCTCCAAGTATAAATATACAGTTGGACCTCCGTTTTCATGGGGAATCCGTTCCGGACCCACCCACCCCTGCAAAAATGGAGACTCACCAATATTCAAGCCCCATAGGCTTGAATGGGGTGCGCCCCATTGATTTTAAAGGAGGTCGCCCCTCCACGAATATTCAAAACTGCAGACCTCAAGTCTGCAAGAACAGAGGGGCGACTGTAATTCTTAGGGTAAATATAATTCTAGACCTTACTGACTCCCAACTTCCTTGACATCAAGAATCAATCCATACCGAGCCAAGCCAACACCAAGTATGTTCCAGGGACTCCTGTGTCATAGGAGTTGGCACTCTGCTATCTCTACTTCATACATCCCTTAGAACAATCAAAACCTTTGCCAGTCTCTGAGACAGTGGCTGCCAGTCCTGGGCAAATTTATAGGGAGGAAAAAATAAAACAATTGTACTCATTAAGTACAAATTTAGTGCTGGTCTTGACAAATTGGAAAAATATAATTTCTGGTCTCCCATGCGAGATAGTCTAAAAAATGGGTTTTGCTTATTTGTCACCATGTTCCATTCTTTTATGGAGCTGTTTATAGTGATTTCATAGACTTGCACTAGGGCTTTTTGAAAGGTTTTGTTGTTGTTTGTTGTTAAAGCCAGGGTGTGGATTGCTGAGATGGTCCAGTGGTTCGAAGAACAAATTGCTTTCCATTGAATCCCCCTTCCTCCTGCTTTAGAGTTCTAGCGTAACAGTATAATGCTGCTGCTTTAATGTACTACAGGATTATAATTCTTTTAATTATAAGAGAGAAAGAAGGAAAAGGGAAAGAAACCTGTTTGTTGCACTATGTCTCAGAATTTTTTTTAATGTTGCTCCCAGGTAGAAATGTTCAGGTGGTTTTGGAAATTGCCAAAAAATACTCCAGGGTAACAGAAAAACTATTTGGATATTTATTTTTAAAAAGAATGAGAACTACGTACAGTCACAAATATTGCAACTTCATAACACTTCTGCCCAGTTTGTAGGACCTCAAAGTTGCTCATATTTGCACTGGCTTAAACTACATAATGTTTTAAATAACATTCCTTTTCTGTCTTTTCTAGAATACGCCTCTCTGGCTGTGCTTTAGATTGGGAGCAGCAT